TCCCAAATCTAGACATTCCTTATCCAGCGACATATAAAAAATATAGAAGATGCTGTCTGGGGCTTAGGAAGGTAGTCTAAGGTCCAATGGCGGCCCAGTAAAAAGGTTTTTCACAGGGTAGTTTGAGAGGGGCAAAGGCGTGAGGCGTAGCTAGGTTAGCTGCAGGGGTTACGGGTTGCCAGTTGCCAGTTGCCGGTTACCCATGCAGGATTTACGCTAAAAAGATGCCATAAACTTTGAACGTTGGTGGAGGCTCAAAAAACAAAAAGAAAAAAAAAAGAAAAGTAGAAGCGGCAGAAGGGTATGCAAGACTAGCAAATGCCCTGTAATTGTAATTGAAGTCTGAAGAATATTTTTATATATTTTATTAGAATATTTTCTGGAAAATGTGGAAGAGAAGGATTTTATTTAAATAACATTATTGAGCTAGTGATAAAATACTCTATATAAAATACTTTAAAATAAATTTTTAAAAAATATTTAATATATCCCATGCACTCCGCTTTCCGCCAAGCACATTCGTACAGCATACCCACCCTGCTTATCTATACAGGGTGTAGAAAAAACGGACCGAAATTGGAATTTGATAGACGCCTGGGCGTCGGTCTGTGACTCGTCCTTCGACTGCCCTCGTTGGCGCTGGCAAAGTTCAGAGGCCGTTGCACGGTACACAGGAATCGCTAAGTGGGCGGACCAGAGGTGCAGGCAGAACACCATCGGACGTGGGCTCAAGATGGGGCTAGGGCAGGGCTGGCCGGGGCTGAGGTTGGGGTAGGTGTAGGTGTAGGGTGAGCATGCCAAGTATTGACGACTTTTTAAAAGGGTCGAGTGACGTCGCTGCTGTTAAGGAAGGGACAATGTGTGTGTGAGTGTGTGTGTGTGTGTGTGTTTGTGTGTGTGGGCTGTGCTGGCGCGTGTAATAAACCAAGCGATTTTAACACCCGCAATGCGGAGGGTGTAGTGTGGGTGCAGTGAGTAGCGTAGGGCATAGGGTGTCGGGTAGTCCTTGGTAGCCGGGCAAAGTTATAAAACTTTACAGTTAACTAGGCTTGGCAATCAAGCTAAAAGCAAAGGCGTCGTCATCGGTGCCTCCCAAACACACACACACACACACCTATTACTACTATCCCACCCCCTTCCCTTCTCTCCCGCTCTCTGTGGGCGCCGCGTCACGTCTGGCGCCATCTAGCGGACGTTGCATGAGTATGCCAGCCAAAAAAAAAAAAGAAACCAACTGGAAACGGAACGGCAAGCACCTCTAAACGTGGACAGTTCTCGGCACACACACACACACACCTGCACTTACCCACACACACACTTACACATCCCCACACACCCACACCCATACGGTCTTGGACGTGTGTGTCCTTTTTTTGCGACTATCCTATCCGCCGGGCTTGGCTTAACCAATGCGACGTTTGTTTGCTCAAATCGTTTCTCGTTTTAAACATTCGCCTTTTGTTTTTTTTTTTTCTCTGTTCCTTTCTTTCTTTTTTTTTTGGGTTTTCTCTTGCCTTTTGCCATTCCACATTTGCCATTTTATCTGTCTCGTTCGTAGACATTGTCTGTGGCCCAACAAAAAAGAAAAAATGAGGCAGCCCTCTTATTTTCTATGTGCCTTTTTTTTAGACCCATCGAGTCTATCCAAACGCAATATTTGCTAGAAGAGATCTGGTTATTTAGCTAAGGGGATCAGAAGAGAAAAATATGTTTTTGATATTTGTCGAAAATTTGTTTAATTTAAGGCCCTTTATTACAGAAGAATCCCAAAATTAATGTCTGAAGAATAGAAATCTGTTTATGATTCAAAACATTTCAGATTTAGTTCTCTTCATTCAAAATATTCAGATTATAAGACAATAATTTATAAA